TATATATATATATTTTTTTTTTTCTTTTTTTGGGCAGAACCAGGGATTGAACTCAGGCCCTTGTACTTGCACTTGCCAGGGAAGTACTTATTCCACTGAGCCATCTCCCTGGCTCCAATAATATATTTTCAAATACTAAATATTATTTCACATCTAAATTAGACTCTATTTGCACATACATCAGCTAAAAAAGCAAACAAAACCCTAAAAACATAGAACTACTAAAGATATGAGCAGGCCCATCTACTGGTTTTTTAAATGGTTTTTGACTTCTCAGTTTTCACTGGGTAAGCACAGAAATTAAGCTGTAGAGGAAGGATCTTCTTTTGTCACTTGAATCCTTCGTGACAAATTTCTGTGGTATTGAGGAATAAGACTGATTCAGATTCTCTGGCAAGGTTTGAAGTCATGATAACAGGCCATGTTTTTCAGTTACCTCCAAAGTTGGGTACCTATAGAGAAAGAACAACTAAAACACTGTTTTTGTTTATTTGATTAAATTCATACACTTTTTTTTACCTTTTCGGGAAAAAATTAAAGGTATTTTGGCCACCCCATTTTCTTTTTTTTGTTTTAAAATAGATGTAGCCACTGATTCTATGTGCCCACCAGTTCCTCCAAATCTTTTTAAATGTTTAATAAATTTTCACTAGGTTTTTGTTGTGTCCATATTTTACAAGAAATGTCTTTAGTGTAGTGTGTTAAAACATTATTAAACAAAAGTTCTTTGAAAAGTACAAGCTTTCATTAACATTTCTGTATGCATCAAATACATACATAGTACATTCAGTTTTAACATGAAACAATACATTGCATGAAAATTGAATTAAAAATCCTGAAACTTTTTTTAAATGTAGCCACTTCGTTATATTCATGATAGTAAAGGAGGACACAGAGAAGTCAAGAGAATATGGTGGAGAAATTGTTCATATTTGTTTCTGATGGCTCTAAGATTTGCTATTGCAGCAGATTATGGAGCCTAATTAAATTAGTCATCTTGGTTGAAACTGGTGCATCTTTCTTCTTCTCCAACCCTCAGCTTTCAGCTTTAGTTCTCTCTCTCCTCTGTCTCAAGTACATGATAGATAAGTGAGTCATGTTGTCTTCTAGAACAGGACTTTCCATGTATTGTGTGACTCCCCTCATGCATACTCCTCTGCCTAGAGGACAGCTTCGGTTATCTCTACCTCTCTCCTCATACGCAGCTCTGTACACTGATTGTTAGGCACAGTTCTAGTCTCCAGCCTTTTGCAGTATCCTATTAATTCAGTGCAAGGAGTCTCTCTGGTTTCATATCTCTTGTAGCTCTAACCCCTCCTTGCATGCACAGAACATTAGCCGACCTACTTTGACTGAACTGTGTGCTTTGTCATGACAGGGACAAAAGTTTTCTCTTCCTGCTCTTCATGTTTGAAGTCTAGTTTGTAGGAATTCTCAGTCAATACTTGAGAATGGGATTGAATTCTAATGATATCCCCTTTCTTTCTGCAGGCCTGAATTTCACATATAGGATAGTCTGAGCTCTGATTTAAACTAGAGTCCACTTAAGCAAATCAGAGATAGGATGTGCCTCACAAATGAGGCACAGTGGTGTGATGCATTGGAGATGTGAGAGAAGCAATCTTTTCCCTCTTTTCTCTTAATCATTGCACTGATTTTCTGTATTTTCAAAATTAGAGAAAAAGGAGGGCCACAAGGAAAGCCAACATTTTGGCCCTAGCCTTCCAAGGTCAATTAAGACTCAGGACATATGAGAACTTGTACTGTTACATCATGTAACTCGGTAGTGTCCCAAATTTTCTGATCAAGGAGATTATGGGGCCAAAGAGGAAAGTGATCGATGATGTAGAGTGTGCCTAAGGAGAGTCACATGGAGAGAAAACATTCTCTCAGGCTTTCACAGAGAGCACGTTGGCCAAGCAATGGCTGTGACTCACCACATGGCTGACACTGACAAAGGTTCTACAATCTGAGGTACAGGATCTCAGGATAAATCCTGAGGGGATTTCACTGACCTTATCAGACCCAAAAGCTACAACTCTTATTGCATAGGTCCTGCTTTACCTTGGTCTTAACCATCCAGCAGAAAAGTATAAAAACGAAGTATAAGAAGTAAAGCCATGCTGTGATGTTGAGCTGAAGGGGACTCAGGTCAACAATTTCTGACATTGCTAGTGAAGCAGAAGGCCCAATACTATTATGGACTACTGGACTCTTTTAGAATATTTTGCTGAGTTTACACACCTATAAGATTCAAATAATGGAACTAAACAAAAAAGGGGATACAGATGAATGTCCATTTTGTATCTGTGTATTCAAAATGGTCAGAATAGATATATAGTTACATTCTCTTAATGAATAAAGGGATTTGTTCCAATGGTGTTTGTAAATGGGATATCATGTCCGTATCTTGTATAGCAATTAACCACTAGGAAGAATGTATGCAATGTGTTAATTACTGAAACTGTCCTACCGATTTGGTTTGAAACTGTCTCATGGCTATTTGTTTCTCAATAAAATTATGGCAGAAAAATAAATTCTTCCCAGTACCTGCAGTATTACGTTCCTTTTATGTCTCAGAAAATGATACACATATTATATGTGAAAACAGAAATACCAGCTAAGTTGAAAATTAACAACACAGGATATGTCTTTTGCATATAAACTAGCTCAGTAGTTTAAACACCAACAAACATCACAAGGTATAAAGTGCAAGAAACTCAATCTTCCCAGCTGCCCCAGGCCCTTTGGAAAAGGCTGAGCTCTGTCTTTCACACCTGTCCTATAGGTCAACCTTTAGGTAAGTACACCAGAAAAAGTAGGCAGTGATTTTCAGTAAAAAAAAAAAAAAGTCGTATTTACAAACACATATA